TGTACAGTTTTTCAATACACAGTTTCTCTGTGTTGCCCTGGCTGTGCTAGAAATTGCTCTGTAGATCAGGCTGGCCTCCAATTCACAATGATTTTCCTGCCTCTGCCTCCTGAGTACTGGGATCAAAAGTGTGCACCACCACTGCCCAGTTTTTTTAAACATGTAATTATTTTTATGCGTATTGGCATTTTGCCTGCATATTTATCTGTGTGAAGGTGTCAGATACCCGGGAACTGGAATTAATAACAGTATTGTGCTCCAATGTGGGAGATGAGGATTGAATCTGGGCCCTCTGGAAAGCAGCCAGCTAGTTAACTGCTGAGCCATATCTGCAGCCCTGGCTTATTTCTAATATAAACCCCAGCTGATGATGTCCAGCTCGGACTTAACTCTATTAGAGTCCAGTTAGGCCTAATGTGTGAGCTGAATGAGTCAGCCAGGTCTGTTTGGCATGGGGTAGCCAGAATGACATGGGAACATGGTGAGTTTAAAAAAAACATGACTGAGCAATGTCTAATAAAAACTGATGGAATATATTAAGTTTTGACTGTTGAGTTGTACAGTCAGGAAAAGGTACTATCCATTCTGTGGAATGTGGGAAATTTGTGTACAAAATATATGCTCCTTGTCTTTTTGAAGAAGAATGTGTAAAATCACTATGAGCAAACTCTATAGGATTTTTAGATGTAATTTTAGCTCAAACCCATTGAGTATCTTCAAAAACTCTTAAAAGCTGATGTACTGAGTAGTGATTATCTACAGATCCCATGTAACATGCTAATGCAATCTGCCAGTGGTCATCAATTTAAATCAATCAAGCTGAATATTATCTTCTGGCAGTAATTTCTGTAGGCTCCATACTAGGAAGATGTTTATTTTTTATTTTATTAAATTTTCTATTCCTTTTACATACCAACCACAGATTCCTCCTCTCCTCCCTCCTCCCGCCCCACAGCCTCCCACCCCCCACCCCCGCAAACACTCACCTCCCCTTCCCATCTCCTCCAATGCATAGTCTCCCATGGGAAGTCAGCAGAGCCTGGTACATTCAGCTGGGGCAGGTCTAAGCCCCTCCTCCCTGCACCAAGGCTGCAAAAAGTGTCCCATCATAGGCACTGGGCTCCACAAAGCCCACTCGTGCACCAGGGATGGATCCTGATCGCACTGCCTGGGAACCCACCAGATAGTTCAAGCTAAACAACTATCCCGCATATCCAGAGGGCCTAGTCCAGTAACATGGGGGCTCCACAGATATTGGTCCACAGTTCATGTGTTTTAACTAGTTTGGCTGTCCATCTCTATACATTTTCCCACCATGATCTCAATGTCCCTTGCTCATAGAATCTCTCTTCTCTCCCATCGATTGGACTCCCAGAGCTCGGCCTGGCCCTCAGCTGTGGATCTTTGCATTGCTCCCACCAGTCACTGGGTGAAGGCTCATGAGGGTCCTCAGCTATTGGTCCACAGTTCATGCATTTCCACTAGCTTGGTTGATTATCTCTGTACTTTTTCCCATCATGACCTCGATGTCCCTTGCTTATAAAAACTGTCCTTCCTATTATCATTAAGTCTATCACTTCTTGGAATAAGGAGATGCAGGCACTTGTGGAGAATCATACCTCACATAAATTTCTATAATACTATTACCTTCTGGACATAATACTTTAGCAGGAGAAAAACACTCACTTTCCAACATGGAAGTACTGAGGCATTTCAAAACCTTCAGAGAATTCAGGGGTGTTAAAGGAATTTCCTTGAGTCCCAGGAGAGATTCCTGGAATGGGAAACCTGACTTCTGGAGAGTTATGAGGAAAGTTGATTAGCAAGGAGGCAATGTAAGTTCCCCATGACATGGAGTGCAAAAGGAAGAGGTTCCTTTCCTTCTAGAAGCCCTTCATTGTCACATTCTCTCAATCTGGCTGTTAAACAACCAGGTCGTGCAGACTGGAGAGGAAACATTTTGACCTTTTATGTTTACCTCTTCCCATCATGCTGGAAATGAATGTGTTAGGTAACAAAGTGCAGATTTTTTTTAAAGCCAGATGGTCATATCTGCTTTTGAGATTTATGAAACCATGGTCTTTTACTCAAGTAGAAATGAAGCAGAGGTTAAAATTGTTAGTGGTCTCTAATGATAAAACTGAAAGGAATACACAGATATTTGTGGACAAAAATGGAGACCATGGCATTGACAAGTGATAAAATGAATGACAGTGTAACATTCCCTTTTTATGAAAAATAACACGTCTCAAAATGTCCTTAAAGTCTCAAGAAGGGAGTAAGTACTGACTCCAGGAACCAGAGGACACTCTAGAGAACTCTGGTCACAGAAACACTTCAACTGTTGCTTCTGACTCTGCTTCCACTTCCACATCTGTTGCTGTTGCTCCTGCTTCTGCTGTGTCTGCTTCTCGTGCTTCTGCTTCCTCTCCAGAGGCTACAGCCTCTTCTACAGCTGCTTCTGCTGCATGCCTTTACAGTTGTTGTTACTGCTACTGTAGCACAAGGTAAATGAACCCACTCTACAAAGACACAGTGGGCATACTCACAGTTGGGATTCGGTTATTAAGGAGAAAGGAGAAAAGGATAAGTAAGACCGTGACATATGTTGAAAATAGATAACCATTTTTGACTTACAAAACAAATTATCTTTTTGGGCTAACATTCATGATGAACATATTTTATTGTGATGGGTTTATACTCAAGGCCATAGTCAGGCATTTCTCAGTATCACAATCATTTACACAGTTGGATCACATTTCCACTTAGATGGAAAGCAGTGTTATATAAACACAGTCATCAGAGATGGCAAGTGTGAGGAAAGCCCATTGCCTTGTCCTGTGGTTAGATGAATTTATCCACACAGAAGTCAGACTGCTGTTCCTCACCAAGAACCCACTTGCCTCCAGTTCCACTCACAGTACCTGCCAGTGTCTCCTGACACAGATAGATATGGCTCCTGTTTCATCTCCGACTTGGACTTGGATTTTTCTGTCCCTGTCCCTGCAGGCAAGTGACACTGAACACTCCAGCATCTTTCTATCCTTGAATCTTTTTTGTCTGGCTTTTGTTTTCTTTTTTAAGTCTTTTTCTAAACATGTTTTTAAAAATTCATTTTACATGCCAACCACAGATCTCTGTCTCACGCCTCCTTCTGCTTCTCCCCCAGAAGCCTATCATCAAGAACAAACTCCCAGCAAGAACCCCTTGTGAAGTAATGGCCCAGAAGTTCAGGAAGTTACATGACAACTTGTGAAAATCCTATAATGGTTGGTGAGGCTCAGTTCCCTCCACAAAACGGTCATAGGCCATGGAGGCCAGGAATAAGCCCTCAGAACCTGCCATGGTCAGAAAGAAAAAGGATTGCACTCCACAGCCCAGTAAGGTAATGCTTTTCTGGCCAGAGAGGAAGTTGAATGCCATCTTGGGAACAGTGGTAGAAATATGCATCAGGTCCATGAGAGAGAGCTGACTGAGCAGAAAGTACATGGTGGTGTGGAGCCTGGGATCCACAGGAATGAGGTGGATCATTGCTGAGTTGCCAAGCAAGGCCACAGAGAATATGGAGATGATGAGCAGCAAAAGCAATAGGTCTGTGTGATTTTGTGAGAACAATCCTAATAAAATGAAACCACTTGAGCTCTGATTCCATTTCTCCATGAAAATGTATTGCATTCTCTTTCTTCAAAAGGGACCTGAAAGTAAAATGCACTTATCATATAAAGTAGAACAGGAGAATAAAGAGGAACTGACTGGGAATGAATAGTTGCACTGAATTGTCCTTCTGTTGAATTTATTTTGAAATCTGAGCTGAATGTTTCTTCCCCCTTGCCTGTGGCCAAGTTCTCAGTTCAGAGATACCTGTATGATTTTTTTTATATTTTTAGTAAATATTTTTATTTTATAATTAATAATTTCACATATCAGCCACAGATACCCCTATCCTCCCTCCTCCCCCTCCCCCGCCCCCATCCTCCTCCCAATCCACCCCCCATTCCTACTCCTCCAAATCAAGGGGATTCAGCCCAGCCTGGTAGATTCAGTTGAGGCAGGTCCAGTCCCCTCCTCCCTGCACCAAGGCTGAGCAAAGTGTCTCAGCATAGGTTCTAGGTTACAAAAAACCAGATCATGCACCAAGGACAGTTCCCAGTCCCACTGCCTGGGGGCCTCCTAAACAGCTCAAGCTCATCAACTGTCTCACGCATCCTGGTCCAGTTCCATGGAGGATCCTCAGCTATTGCCTCACAGTTCATGTGTTTCCACTAGTTTGGCTATTTGTCCCTGTGATTTTTCCATCAGGGTCTCGATATCTCTTGCTCATATAACCCCCCCTCTCTCTCTCAACTGTTGGGACTCCTGGAGCTTCACCTGGCACTTGGCTGTGGATCTCTGCATCTGCTTCCACCAATCACTGGATGAGAGTTCTCTCAAGACAGTTAGGGTGTTGATGGCCAAAAACTCTGACAATCTTTTAAAGCCCTCATAATGACAAGTTTCCATGCAAAAAGGAAGTGCCAACTTCGTAGTTATCAATATTTCCTCTTCTGTCAGTATTTATGATAACATTAACTCCAGATAAGTAGAACAAAAAAAAAAACACCCCACAAAAGTCATTTATTTGTTAGTAGAATAAAAAGTATAAATAGTAAATGTAGTAAAAGATATTGTGAAAATGGGAAATCTCTTGTCAAGGCGTTCCTGCTCTCATGATAAACAACTCCATGACAACAATTCAAGATAGATCATGGAAGAGACTTCATTTCCTCCAACAAGACAATATATGAAGTTATTGCTGTGTGTGGTAAGGGAGAGCTGTGGTGGTCAAGCACAAGCCTAACACAGAATCCTGCCGAATCTGTACAGTGGTCTGGGAATAGTGATAGTTAGAGCTGTGCCAATTTCAACCAGTGAGTAGGCTGACATTTGGGACAAATAGAGTTTAAACCTCACCCACTATAGGCAGCCAAGAAATTAAGGAGATGACCTTTGCATCTTATACTCAAAATAAATCATTCTAAACATCATTTTACTGTTGCTCCTCTATATTATACATTATCATAAGTTTTTAAATAAGATTTTGCTCATTAAGGCCCACCTGGCTACCATCCCCAACAGGGTCCCTTCTGTATTCTCCACCTTCTCCTCCTCTTCCAATCTTCCTCCCTTTTCAGTCATCTTGGCTATGCCTAGGATCCCAAGATGTACCTGTTGAACACCACTAGAACTCTGGTGACCCAGGCCCATAGACTCCAGCCCATTGCCCCTGTTGTCTGGGGACTATGAGTACCCTAAGAAGTCACCCATTTCAGCCCACAGCACCAAGGTCTCTGATAGCCCTGGTACCATTCCCCAGAGCTGGGCAAGGTGAGGCAGGTTGGTCAGACAGCATAGTGACACAGCACCAGGAACTGCTAGGCATTTGGCCTCAGACCCTGGCCCAGGTCATGACCAAGGTGAGGGCCATGCTTCAAGGCAGTGGGAGCTCTGAGCCCAGGCAAGTGGCAACAGCTTGATAAGGAGGCTGGGGACACCAAAGAGTAGCTGCTGCTCCAGGTGCACCCTCCTAAGAGGCAGGATAAATTCCAGGACTTGCTCACTTCACTGAAGCAGATACAGCCTCAACTACTATCCATTCTCTTCCTGAAGGGCGTCTTCAAACTGCCACAGCACACTGAGGGCCTGGGTGAGGAGTAGGTTTTTGGGGCTCCCCTGAACTGCCACCCACCTCTTCTCTCTGCAGCTCACTCAGTGTGTCTAGGATCTGGTAGTGGCCACTACTCTACCTGAGTGTCCAGGGTGACACCTTCTCTCTTAGCCCACAGGGGAAGGGACCAGTGACTAGACATGAATTTGTGCCAACTGCCTCTGTCCTGAGTCTCTCAGGGAACAATAACAAGATAACAATAGCAGAAGCCATTCCTTCCCTGTCCTGGTTGTCCTCAGTGGGACATGATGTCCAGTGTCATAAGGAGATGGTAGAACACCTTGGAATGATGTGGGCCATCCTCTTTTCAAACTCCTCACCAGAAGTTGAAATCAGTAAGAAGAGATTCTACACTAGGAATACAAAGCCTAAGTTTTGATCCTGCCTGTCCATTTCAGTATCACAAGTGTCTTTCTCTCTGTGTTTTTTTCCTTCTTGCTTACTGGAGCTCAGTATCCTTTCTGGTCCAGATTACCTGTGAAATATGCACAATGCCATACCCATTTTGCCTTAGGAAGTAATGGCCCAGTTTAGGAAGTTACATGGTAGCATGTAAAAATCCTGTAATGGTTAGTGAGGCTCAGTTCCCTCCCTGAGGGCTGAATTCCCACTGGAGGAGAGCTGGTGACTGATTCCTGTGAGTGCTGTCCTTTGGAACCCTGTGTTCTTGATGTGGAAGTGACTGATTCATAAGTGTATATTTAATGAGGGGTTCTTCTGGGAGTTTGTTCCTGATGATAGACTTGTCCTGACTGAGCTAAGAGTGGAAGGCATAGAGCAGAGGAAGGAGGAGAGCTTGAATTCATGGTGTGTACCCTTGCAGAAACTTTACCTTATCACATCAAAATGCCATTATTTGTATATGTTCTACCTATTTTTTATATTGTAACAAAATAGTAAACTATGGCTGCTGTGGTTAAATTGTTCAAGAAGGATTTCATTCCAAGACTTTGAATTATTGTGTGTTGCATATTTAATACATGCAACATTTCAAAGAGCATGTGAGTGAATCTTCTGTGGGTCCTGCCCTTGTTAAGTGTGAATTAATCCACATAACAAAATCAATAACCATAAGCTGGTAAAAGAAAGAGAATAAAGGGAGCTGGAAAAAAGAATAAAAAGCAAAAACAAAATCCTTTAGCAGTTTGTGGGGTATAGTTTAAGAAGACCAGTTTCTGTGACCATTAAAATTCCCAATGATGAAGGACATTATTTTACAAGTTGTTCCTGGTTGCAGCACCTATCTCTATGGTCCATCTCCACCCTCCTTTCTCTAGGTGGAAGAAATTCATATACAGAGAGGCTAAAATAGCAACCACATAACAGAGCATTTCATGAGTGTCCCTGCTGTCTCCTCCTTGAACTTCTGGCTTTTGCACTCTGTTCCTCAGATCTGCACTCTGTCCCTGTAATTATGGTTATTGCAGTTCCTGATCTGAGACCTTAGCCTCCTTCTATTTCCCTTTGAAGTTGCTCAGAAGGGGCTATCACATGTTCAAGAAGGAGAAGGACAAAATCAAAATGACTTTTCCCTTATAAGTAGTTCTATTAATTTCTGAAGAAGGAAGTTTGTCAAAGATCTGTTTCCAGAAATCTTGCTGAAGAAGCACAGAATTAGAGGGCAACCAAGAGTTCTTCACAGGGATGTGTGTGCATCAGCCCTGGGGTTAATCTCTGGCCTAAGGTAATTAGTGGACACACTGCCACTCATTACTAACACTCCGCATACCTGGCAGTTGAGGTACTTCCCTGACCTGACCTTTAAGGAGCTTCTCCAGACCTCCAAAGAAGGACATAGAATAAGGTTGAGATTCATCTCTAGGACTATGATTTCAGATCCATTCCCCCATATCCCCAAATTTTAATAGTCAGGAGAAACCCATAGAACAATACATTACATTGAAGTTAATGTATTATTTTATAGATGAAAAGAATTTAGGCCGATCAGTGGTGGCACATGTCTTTAATCCCAGCACTCGGGAGGCAGGGGCAGGCTGATCTCTGTGAGTTTGAGGCCAGTCTGGTCTCCAAAGCGAGTTCTAGGAAAGGCACAAAGCTACACGAAGAAACTCTGTCTCAATAAAAAAATTAGGGGCTGGAGAGATGGCTCAGAGGTTAAGAGCACTGACTGATCTTCCAGAGGTCCTGAGTTCAATTCCCAGCAACCACATGACAGCTCACAACCATCTGTAATAGGATCTGGTGCCCTCTTCTGGCCTGTAGTTATACATGCTGTATATATAATAAACAAACAAGCAAGTAAAAAAAAAAGATAAAAAAAAAATTTAGAACAGCACTTGAGAGGGCAAGACACTACCCAGAGCTATTGGTTGACAAGGTGATGGTGTTTGAGTCAATGGGTGTCTCTTTATAAATCTGTGATAGGGAAACACATGTTGGTTTCAGGGGGGGGGGACAGGATCTCCTGCTCTTGGACAGATATGCTGCTGTTGAGCATGTCATGAATTACTTTCACATCTCACTGACTTGTGCAAACCCCTGTGTCACAGGGTGTTTTCTTAGCATCTTCTTTACATTAATTTCCCTAGCACAGCAGGGCAAGAATTGATTTTAGCCCACAGGTCCAGGTAATAGTCCATTTTGGGGGATATCAAGGCAGGAACTCAGTCACATCACATCCACAGTCAAGAGCAGAGAGATACAAATGCAGCCATGCTGCCTGCTTGCCTCTGCATATGCTTTAGCTTCTTCACTGTTACACTGTTTAGGTCCCAGCAATTAAGTGGTTCTGCATACTTTAGGGTGAGACCTCCATCTGATTAACAGTCTATAAATCTCCAACAGATGTGCTCAAAGTCAACTTAATCTAAACAATTCCTCATTGAGGCTCTCTCTTCCCAGGTGACTTTAGTTTGTGTAAATATAGGAGTAATTAAAAATTAACACTCACACTTCCCCAGCATCATTGTTATGCTTCATGG